TGACGAGCGAACGCATTAACCACTAGTCAACCCGACCGCCCAAAAGACTGGGATTTTAATAAGATTGAATACTAGTAAACAAGCAATAACTTTGAGAACCCATATGATACATGTACACCTGTCTATGTCCAAATGAATATTTCAATAGTTTAAATTCCAAAACCTGTACAGTGCACCATATGTTCAGAAACTGTTATATTAACACAAAAACCAATTTATGCATCAATATTCACTGTAATGAGATACATATTCGCAACTGTACATTTATGAGCGACCACCTCTGCGAAGCCTTCAACTGAAACACATCAGACAGACACACAATTCATAATTACTATTACCAATCTACAGTCATAACAACAATAACAACTTCTAAAACAAGAATAATTTATTGATTATGATGTAAGGCATTGATGTCAATACTAGCTGCTACAGGAGCATAGTATATACAGCACTCTAACACAATAATTTGTTCCTTTGATGTTAATATAAATGTACATTCATTTGTGTTTTTGGAGAATGGCATGCATGATCAACAGAAATGCCCTTGTGGAATTAGTTGTATTGATGTACATTTTTTTATGATCAACTTTGAAAACTATTCTCAATAATTTTAATTTTCAATTTCATATGAACAATAACAATTGCTTTAAATTACCTCACATGCAACTTAATTTAATAAACGAAATCATTTGTGATGGTCATGGAATGTTTGTAAGCATTTGTACATGACGACAGTCACATCCCAGTGATACATCCGACATTGTCAAGCAGAGTAGTATTTTGAAATTGAAACGAACTGATACAGTCAACAGGTATGTGAAAGGTTATCTGCACTTTTTATTAACAATGTTTTCCGGTCCATCGTGGTTAAAAGGCAACACAGATCCAGGTGATTGCCAACATTTTCGTCTTCTCCAAACTCTGGAAAGAGATTATAGTGACGCTTCCCGGAAATGATCACTGTTTGGCTGCTTCGTCATGGGTCTCTTGAAATATTTGACGCTGTCTGGTAGGTAAGGAACTACGGGTTTGTCAGGCTTGTCACTCAAATAGTTCCTGTGAATTTTGTTGCATTTCGTCCTTACAAAATCACTTTCGATTTGTTCAGGCGTGAATGCAGGTTGACTGGTAGCTATTTCTGTTGAACAGGCGTGGAATTCATTTACGATCCTCCCACATGAATTGACGATGAATAAATCACAAATGACGAGCTATTTACAACTGTGTTCCTCCGTGATCTTTACAATCACGATCTCTCTTGTCAACACCGTCCATTGAACACTGGAAACGGAACACCCACATCATCACTGATCTCTACGACGCTCTTCTTCGTGCATAATAACCTAAACACGCACATATTCCCAGAATTCCGATAACAAGTCCCAGAACAAGGGCGATGGCATCCCCTGCATCAAATGCTGACACACCGGGGATAAAAAGAGCCAAGACAAAAACAACCAGAGCCAAAAAGCTGCCTGCTGCGGCCATCTTGAGAGAATGAGAGCATGTGACCCGTCAGGTTATCATGTGACTTCTAGAGAGACAACTCTCTTCCGGTTTAGTAACACTCCGGCGCGAGCCGCATGGAACACTGGGTAGGAGAGTTGTTTAGGGTTGTGATTGTGCTTTTCTAAAAGAGTTCGAACCTGGTATTTGTCAGTTTCACAAAACAAAATAACTTCTTTACCATCTCAGTTTAATGTTATGTTTTCATCCTTACATAGCTACAATACATTTTTGTATTATCATCAACAACAAGTACTTTCTGCTGTTTTATTTTCTTAATTTCTTGCATATGTTTACAGTATGTCTTTAAAGTAAAAAAAATGAGAATCACAAGAAAACTGAGACAAATCTTATTTATTTATTTATTTTTTATTCTTTAAGATATTTTTTGGTTTGACATAGCAGAATGTTAAATTTACGGAATTCCGGTTGTCGATGTATGGAATTGGTTCCATATCGCCTACCCTCCACTTTGCCTACAGTCTTATTTTCATATCGTGTCTAAAGTTTATCAGAGCCACACGTTAACTATCGCAAGCGGTATATGTTTTAAGCCTTCAATGTATCTCATTCCACTGATAGTTTATTTGTTCCCTTATTGCTCCTCGGAGCTGCATGCTGTGTTTGCGCATGACAACATTAAACATACCTTCCATAAATATAATAATCATAGAGACCATTTGACTTTGTCTCGTCTTAATCTTGTGTATAAGCACAAATGTCATAATTTATGATATGTTATAGAATATATATGTATAAATCCTCTCCGACTTCATATCCATCCAAATTACATCGACAATAGACGACATACATGTCAAGGCAACGAGTTTTACTTAGGGACCGACCATTCGATATTCTAGGGGGAGGCTGGGAGTTTGCATCGACATTACATTGTAAACAGGAGTTAAACTCCCGGTTGTGTTCATAAAATAAATAATTACTTAATGAAAATGTTTTGATTGTGCATGAAATATATATGTGTGTGTGTGTGTGTGTGTGTGTGTGTGTGTGTAAACTATTACATATTGAATGTATATGAATGTGCTCAAAGTGTGTCAAACGGGGAGCGCAGGTAGCAGCCAAGTATCCTAAAGTAATTTTTTTTCTGAAAGGAGTGACTGTTGATAAAGTAGGTAAATCTCGGGGCTTTGTGGAAGGTTACGCTTGACGGAGTACAACAAATCTGATTGAAGAGGGATGAAAAGGTCAGAGTTTAGTAAATTATATTAAGGTCTGAACCACGTAGTCTTAAGTTAAGAAAATGAATCACAGGCTGAATAAATAGCAATAGCAAAGAGAACAAGGTCCGAACCTTGTATAATTAATTAATCATTAGATTGAGCCTGGAGGATAAAACTGGGGGGGGGGGGGGGGGGGGGGTAAGTCGAAGAGACCGTTTTCGTGGAGCTGAGGTCGTACAGTCACTGCGGTCCCAGTTTGCAGAATGCTTTCATAAGTTTGTGAAGTATCGATTGCTGTATTCAGAAAACCGTTTGAATAAATAATCATCTCATGGAACACAAGTTGTCTTATTCCTGTTGGGCTGTCTCCTGATCTGAGGTCCAAATAAATAACCCCGGTAACAACATGTTGATATTTTGTCAGCTACGGATACAAAACCAGATATTCTTTATTAAAAACTATGAACCTGAATTGTTTTTAAAGGTAAAAAAACATAATTACAATGTCATTTTTGTGGCAGGCATTTTTTTCAAAAGTCTGAAGCATAAATATTATTTTCAAGTATTTTCAGGGATATGTTTTTCGATAGCATTTCAGCCGCCTCCAGAAAATCAAATGGTAGGTCTGGTACCCGGGTAGTCAATTTGGACTCGTCCCAGCCCTATTATCCATCAGACAACAGTGTGCACGTGGGGATTCCCAGCATCCCCTATGTGTAAGAGGCGACACAGTGGGTTAGGTGGTCACGCTCGGTGTTTGGTTGATTGGTGGCATCGTTCTCCTACAGCGGGACGTTGTTCATAATGTCAGTCACTGAACTGTCTTCTAGAGCTAGTTATATTAAGGCCGCCCTAAAAAAAACCTGGAATGATGCTACATGTGGTGTGAATTAACAAACAGAAATATTTAAAAAGGCGGGTAGGTGGTGTTACTTCACTCCAGTGAGATTTTCAGACAAATACCGTACTTTATAAAAAAAAATACATAAAAAACGTATTTACACTCTGCACGCCTGGTATGCCACGCCATCCGGATATTATACCGATTACAAATGATTGACTTGCGCAAACCTTACAGACAGTTATATGTAACAATAAACACAGTCTAGTCAAGATATTACATTAACGCGGTAAGCGAAGTTTTAGCAACAGTAACTCATGTTATGCCATGTTTGTTATTACAGTCAGTGGGTATCAGGAAGTATTAATATATTGACATTTCACTATTTGTCCATGTAAATATGTACTAAACAAACATGTTTATAATGTATGCTTAAAATTTTCCTGTAAATATACTTAATAGTGCTTCTTCAAATTATTGCCTGAAAGTTTCGTTATTTCAATACTGATATCTCAATGCAAGATGAACTTAAAATACATCAAGTTTTTAAAAAAATAGTTATTTAGTTATTTTTTTATAGTTTTTTATTAATATTATTATATATATTTTATTATCATTATTATTATTATTATTTATTTTTTATTTATTCATTTATTTTATTTCATTTTTTTTTTTTTGGGGGGGGGGGGTATTTTTATAATCCAACTTTGAAATGAACACTGAACACCCTTTTTTAAATATAAAGTCGCAGAATCTTGATCTAAGAATTAACGAAATTCTGTTCAGGATACCATATTAAACAGACACAAGTTACCATTAGACTACTGATAGGTTATTAGCTTCTCATTAATCCGCATGAGGATGTCATGATGATTTAAGTTAGCCTTTCAATCGTCGTTGACGGTCCATATTAACAACGTGCATCGATCGTGTCAACAAAGGGATATCGCTCTCCTAACTTGATAAGCGATCTACCACTTAAATCCTAAAGTGTGTAAATATTCCAATTATAAAGTTAGACAATAACTATCATGTTTGACCGTGTAGAGTTTGAATTTAATCATTTACTGCATTGATAGTAAATTGAGGCTTACTTATATCCAAAAAATAATTGTTTACTTTTCAGTTGTAACGAAATGTGCTTTTTGTTGGGTGTCAACAATTGCCTTTCTGCTGAATGGTAGTTTGGCCCCTGAAAATAATTGACATCAACCCCAGAGACAGATCCAGGATTTTGAGAAGTCGAGGTCAAAGAACAGATATTATTTAAAAAAATAAAAAATATGGATGTGTTTCGGGATATGGTCTCTGGGTAAATGTAAACTGTTTTAAAACATGAAAATTGGGTACAAGCGATGCTCTTTCTTAGCATAAAGGTAAGTGCCTTTGTTGGGCTCCAGTGGAACTTTTCGCGCACCTGCAGTGTGACGTCATGGCTATTTTGATCACATGATCATGTCAGGTGGTCAAAAATGGCGGCCTTCAATGTTGACAGTGTTCGCGAGTCTGAAAACAAGGTCTATCCTGGCAGTCCACAGCTAGCTAGAAAGGCAATCAATGAAATAGACACATCTGAACAGACGGGTGTTCCACTAAATACTCCATGGACGTTTTGGCTCGACAAGTTAGTATGCACTGAAAATACACGAATTGTGTTTCGTTTTGACAGTTGGTGTGGATGCTTATCAACCTGTGTAAAGAGGGGGGTAAGCTAAGAACAGTGTGGTGAATGGTACATGCTAAGGGAGGTAACTGCCGCGGAAAAAACATTGCATTTGTGCAACCTTGGACATTTAAAACAATAACAACGTTAGACATGGTCTGAAACTTCGTTTTAATATCGACAGAATCCTGATATGTACTTGTAAATAATTTAGGCACAATGTGATTTGACTTCGCATTGAGGGAAATCCACTAGACATCGTTAGAATAAACATTTGACTTTTTGTTGACATTATTCTGCTGGCCTAATAAAACAACACAAAATAAAGAAACGAAAATGTTATTGTCCACGGCGATACTCTCAAGAAGAAGTAGAATCTTGATCATTATTTTCGCGATTTTCATTTCAGTGATAGTGTTAGTTTGTGTCGGTTTTACAGTGTAGAGTTCATTTATCTTCAAATAAGACTGATACAAATCATCACATCCTTCCACTTTATTCATAAAACACTTGACACACTTTATGCATACAAGTGTGAAATCAGCTTTGTGTATACACAACAATTACATCTCACATGTTGTGTCAAGTACAGGGACAATATTTTGAGAGGTTTTTATTGGTCTGGGTTAAGATTATCTAATGTATTGTAAGTGTAGCTGAAGGGCCTTTTCTAGGGGGTCATTGTCATATACTGTAGAAATGTATGCGGGACAAAATAAGAAAACTGAAATGTAGGCCTACACAAGTTGGCCTCTGCCTTACAACTGTTACATATAGTTCTGATTCACACATTCGTAACATTGTGCCCTAATCCGATGCTGTTTTTGCATCAGCCTTCACAAGTCATCGTGCATTGTGTTTTGTTTTACCCGGATAAAGTGTTGGTTCATAAGATTAACTCATCAGCCCAGAATTGTAGCTATATATATTAGCTACTAGTGGATGTCGGATAGTAAAAGCAGAATATTTAGTCCATAGTTACGAATTTGCAACAAGAACTGAACTAGTCAGTGTGAGACTGATTCCTATACAGGCAGATCTTGGCATGCCAAAAGACGATAAGATCAATCATGGCTGTACATTCTGATGAATAATAATATTCCAACAAAATCCATTTTATGTTGAAACATTAGTCACCAGTTTCTTTTCTAGTGTATGTGAACAAAATTAAAACAAAACTGGTTTCACGCACTGTGTAATAAACTTGCCCAGCTGTTTCAGTACTATGCAGTCATTATGTGTTACGATACTGACCAGGGTACATTCTGTAGTGAGTGAGTGAGTATGGTTTTACGCCGCTTTTAGCAATATTCTAGCAATATCACGACGGGGGACACTGGAAATTGGCTTCACACATTGTACCCATATCGGGAATCGAACCCGGGACTTCGGCGTTACGAGCAAACGCTTTAACCACTAGGCTACCCGACCGCCCCGTACATTTCTGTAACACAGAGTTGTCACTGAGGTACATGTGTAGTAGCCATACTGCAGTCCACCAGGCTGGGGCTCCGCTTCTTCCATCCTTAGGGTTAGTTGTGTGAGGGCTTAAGTAGGTTACCCCAACTCCTGCCTTAGCCCTTGGATCCCATTTCTAATCAAGCAACTATTTCTGATCACAAGGGTTACCCCTTGCCCATCAAACACTCCTTCACGATCCTTAGGGTTTGTCACCCTTTGCTAATCAATCACCGTTTTGCCATCCTTATGGTTAGATGTGAATTGGGGTATGGGTTAGCTATCTCTTAAATGAAGTAATACAATGTAATTTGAGGAAAATCCGCTGAACTTTTATTGCGTTTTGAGTTTTGCAAAAACAAATGACTACTGCAAATGGGCATTTAGGTAAAAAAACGGATGCTGAGCACTTGGTACACAAGCACTAATTATTTGTGGTAGCACCAAAGTCCTGTGATTAAATGTTGGGTAATTAGATAAAAGGTGCTAATTGAATTCAGAAAAAGGGCACTGGTCTAGTACACATGGTATAGTTCTCCCGCCATATTTAAACTGGATGAAAAATGGTTAAGTGTCTGCAGTGTTTCATAGTTATTGTTATTCAGAGAGTTAACTATTTAAGGGGGCAGGGGGTTGTGGTTTGAAGGGTAATATGGTTGCTCAAGTGTTCACTTTTCACACCAAAGGCCAGGTTCCATTCCCCACATAGGTACAATGCATGATGCTCATTTCTGTTGTTCCCCGCTGTGATATTGCTGGAATATTGCTATAGACAGATCTTACCTCCTGATGTTAATCAGATCACTTGGGGAAAGTCGATTAAAAATGTGAAAAGACTAGGAGTATAACTTTGATTCCCAATTGATGGAACACATACTTTGCCAATCCTTCAATCACCCCAAATCTGCACGGTAGTCGTCATGTTGCTTATGACAATTTTTTATGCTATTTTTGATTGGACTATGCATAAACTCGTCAACCCAGCCAAAATATAACTCAGAAATTCCCACCTAGTTCAGCAAGGTGGAAACTGGACCTTTATAGTCGGTTAACTCCCTTGCCCTGAGAAGATGTAGAAATATGCCTCGGTTCACCCAACAGTAAATGGGTACCAGGTAGGATGAGATTGCAATGTGACTGTTAACCTTCTAGCACCTCAAATAAATAAGTGTATGTACATTGACACACTGTACTTTCAGGACAGTTCGAGGAACATCAGCTGCTCAGTATGAAGCCTCCTTGAAGAAACTGTACACGGTTAATACAGTACAGGTAAGGCCAGATGCTGAGGTTTTTGTGTGAAAAACCCTGGTTGTTGGACACATTGTGGGTGGGGAAAAATACTTCACATTATTTTTGTTTTCTAATATTTTTCTAATGTGTATGTGATGTTCTTTCATCATATCTTGTCAGTTATATTATTTTAAAGATACAAAAATAGGACTTTTCAAGTTCAGTCTTTTCCACTTTAAGTTTTAGAGTTGGTGGATCTGTACACCAATTCTTTGTAATGTATTGCCGAACCAGAAACATTTAGGTAACACCTAACCTTGTCCTTAATAGCCGACCAAAGTCTAATTTTCCAACATCTGTAGCTAGCTGGTGTTATCAGTTTTATCATAAGGTTGGAGGCTCCTTGTTAATGTGTATCAGTTAGCCCTGTCAACTCCAGGAGCGTCACTACTTAACAGAGTCAACTGCTGGTGTGGTTGGCCTTTTAATATTTATCAATTATTGACCTTTCATGAGGGCAATATCATATTTTATTGACCCAATAAACTTATATCATGTTATATTGACCGAGACAAGTAGCCGAGGTCAACGTAAGTTTTTTTGGTCCATAAAATGTTATTGTCATATGCGAATTAATGATATGAGGTATTTTGCATGTGCGATGGAGCCATCATGGAGGCAGTCATAACACAGGGGGTGTAATTGGTTGGTTGGTTTGTTGTGTAACGCCACACTCAGCAATATTCCAGCTATATGACAGGGGTCGGTAAATAATCGAGTCTGGACCAGACAATTCAGTGATTGACATCATGAACATCGATCCACACAACTGGGATACAATGACATGCATCAACCAAGTCAGCGAGCTTGACCACCCGATCCCGTTAGTCGCCTCTTATGATAAGAATAGTCGCCTTGTACGGCAAGCATGGGTTGCTGAAAACCTATTCTACCCCGGATCTTCACGGGTCAGGGGGTGTAATAACCAGACCCGTATTACACTCTCTGCCGGGCTGATATGATCTGTGGGGCGGTCGGGTAGCCTAGTGGTTAAAGCGTTCGGTCGTCACACAGTAGACCCAGGTTCGATTCCAGACATGGGTACAATGTGTGAAGCCCATTTCTGGTGTCCCCCGCCGCGATATTGCTGGAATATTGCTGGAATATTGCTAAAAGCGGTGTAAAACCATACTCACTGACACTGATATGTTCTGTCAATGCATTTTGAATGGGTGATCGATATCAGGCTCTAAATATTGCCCTAATTGTGGTCAATAATTGTTTTGCTACATAATTTAAAAAACAAGAATATTTTAAATTCAAGAATAATTGAATCAGATGTTACGGGAAGTCAAAGATGATGCACATCAAGCATTGTGTTACGCTCTCTCTGATTGGCTGCAAATATTTCTCTCCTTTGAGTCCATTGGCTTAAGCATGCAGGGCTATACCACTTTTGATCACAGGATGGGTCTCAGGGCCATACAATGTTTTAGGGAAGGTCATGTGACCCTTTCTCAACCAATGAAAATACAGATATAATTTGTAAATGTAATAATTAAGCTTACACATGTACCAGTCCACACGACAGTAGCTTAACATGATGTGTTGTTCTGAGTAATGGTGGTGTCTTATTTTGATTAAGGGTTTCTGGAGTGTGTACAACAATATCCCGGACCCGAGTGAGCTATCGTCACGATACAGCTACCATCTCATGCGCTTTGTGACGCGACCTGTGTGGTGAGTTGTCTCCCTTTGTTTATTGCCTCATATTTCAAGTGTATACAACTGTAAGGATGGGAATTGTGGTGTTACCATAGTAACTAGTGGTAACAATACCTTTCTTGATAATTGTGCAGTGACATTTTGTATGAAATGTAAGCTTGGGATACTATTGACAGAGTTAAGAAGACTAAACCAGGGACCATATACCATATTTGCTAAACTAGGAAGTTCTTGAATAAGAACAGGTTCTTACGGATAAATAGTATTAACTACAATTGAGGCAATGTTTTGGTTTGTATCCTAACACCTTTGCCAAGAAACTGGACTCAGGCCTCAACTGTAATAAAGGAAGTGGGTAAGGTGGGTTTTAACAGTATTCCAGTTATATCACAGCGTGTCAGCTTAATGTGGGAGGAAAGCCTGAAGTGATGCAGGTTTCAAATGTTTTCCACTTTGGGGAATCCCACAAGCACAGGTATGGTGCTAACAAACCTAGAAACATAAAGTGGCAAATCAGGATTCAAACCCACAATTATAGGGTCTCAACCCTGTACAGAAAATTGCAGCGCCTTAGATGACTGGGCCACCCATGCACCCATTGGTAATTAAGAAGGGTTTTTACATGAGAACTTGCCCTTGTTCATCACACCATCTTCTTGATGCCACTGGGGTGGTGGGGTAGCCGAGTGGTTAAAGTGTTCACTCGCGACGCCGAAGGCTTGGAATTGATTCCCCACATGGGTACAATGTGTGAATCCCATTTCTGGTGTCCTCCCCCGTGATGTTGCTGGAATATAGCTAAAAATGGCGTAATATCATACTCACTCACACGCACACTCACTCTAGATGCCACTCAAAGAAGCTAAAAATGTCTTAGCAGTGTTAAGTAAACAAGACAAATGGTCTGTGTTCATAGATTGATCCAGAGGAGGGGTACACACACACACATACACGCACACACGCAAGCACGCACACGCACGCACACACACACACACACACACACACACACACACACACACACACACACACACACACACACACACACATCCTTCTAAAAACCCAATATAGTATTTTGTTGAAGTAAAATTATCTGAGAGGATTTTGATATTTTTGACCCTCCCTTTTAAAAATGCTGGATCTGCCCTTGTGAGTTAGCGACTTCCAATTCCTACACACTGGTGCTACACTTGACTGTTTTCAAACTCATGACTCTCATCAGCAGTTAAAATGACTTGGTGCGATTGTTGATCTCTTGAACATGCTGACTTGACTTGTTCAGACATGATAAAGGTCTGTTTGACTCACCCTGTCATTAGAACCAGATGTTTGCTGTGTTGCAGGGAGGATGAGTATAACAGCAAGGGAGGTCACTGGAGGTTGAAATGCCACAAACATGACACAGTAAGTGATGCTCAAGTTGTTGTGAAATAGTTTCAAATACCAACGTTTTTTCGTTAGTCTCATAATACTGTATATGTAGCAGATATTAGCTTAGTGTGTACTTCAATATATTTTGTGTTTAAGGGGGTAGAAATGTGAAAAGGATGTGAATGAGTCAACAATATTAACGCCACAGACTGCTTGTTTAATCATTAACAGAAAAATCTGTAGACAACACTATGAAATCAGTGACATCGTTCAGAGCAATAATGCAAAACTAGTGACGAAAGTAGTCTGCGTGGCTCACTTTTTTCGTTTTACGAAAACATAAAAAATTAAATTCAAATTGCTTGGTTAGCCAATCAAATGTCATGTAATTTATCTATTGACAAGTATAGTACTTATACTCACCGGTATACAGTCAAGTTTTGTTAATCCGACATTGTTGGTTGCATATGATTATGTCGAATTAAAGAGTATGTCGGATAAACGAAATTAGGTAGTATCAACAATCGTGATCAAAAATTGGACTACTACACGATAGATAAGGATTCAAGCATGTTGTAATAAAAAGAGGAAAAAGGAAATATTCATATTGTTGTGTTACATTGTCAGCGGAATATGTTTTCTAATCATGCAACCTCTAAAGTTTAACACAAAACTACTGTTACGGACTGTATGACTGATTCAAAATACTTTTTAAAGCATAGTCTAGAATGGAAGTAGCCAATTTTAAACTAGTGCTGCAATGCTGAAGAAAGCTGCTTTCTAAGTGGTTAATGTTGACTTCCTGTTGGTCATTTCATTGGTTGGTCGACCGCCTCCGTGGTCTAATGGTAGAGCGTCCGCCCGGAGAGCAGAAGGTCCGGGGTTCGATCCCCAGCCGCGTCATACCAAAAGACATTAAAAGATGGTACTTGTTGTTACCCTGTCTGGCGCTCGGCATTTAGGGGCTAAAACAAGGACTGGTCGGCTCGGAGTCAGTATACTGTGTCTGAGTGGGGTATTCATGTTAAACTGCGGCATGGTATCTCAGTGTGCTAGCACTATAAATCGGAATCAGTACAAGCATCCACACACTCACACATACACGTGCATGCACGTCGCTATATAAGTGCAATAATCTTGGACGCGACGTTAAACCCCATTTCACCTCACCTCACCTCATTGGTCGGTCAAAGTTCGCGAAAGGTCATTCTGATGTGACCTGTTATGGGATGTCCTCACTTGTATCCAACTTTAATGAGATTAAGGTAATCTAGGCATGTGATTAATCCTGTTTTGTTTATTTAAAGCAGTAATTGTTTATTGTATGCAGCTACTCGCTGACATGTCTCGCATCAAAACATGGGGCTGTGTACTCGCTGGCAAATGACCAAGGAGTACGCTGATAACTGTGTCGGATTAACGAGACTGACTAATGAATGATTTCAGCAATTCGTTGCAAATTAGGTTATCGGAGTCAAAGTGTGAGACTGTCAGTTTAATGGGTCTAAATAGCACTGATTTAATCGGCTCCCATCATTTGTGTTGGATAAAGCCAATTGTCGGATAAACGAGACTTGACTGTATATGGTATTGCTTGTATTGAATAGACATATTTTGAATGTTTCAAATCTGTAGTGAGATGGAACTGTTTCAGCCTACGGTGTGGAAGGAGCTGTTGTTGGCAGCCATAGGAGAACAGTTGGCCGAGTTTATGGCTGAAGGTAGGCTTAACCATGACATGGGAGTAAATTAACACGTATATGCCCCGTCGGGGTCCGGGGTTAGAATTAGTCCCCAGCAACATATCCTGGTCGTAAGAGGTGACTGAATGGATCGGGTGGTAGGTTACTTGGTTGATGGCATGTCATCATACTTCGACGCAGAGGATCGTTGCTCACAATTTCAGTCACCGGATTGACTGGTCCAGACTTGAATATTTACAGGCTGTCGTCATATTGGTGGAATATTGCTGAGTGGGGCACAAGCACAAGGGTCTTTCAAATTAATTTGAGATGAAATATGATTGTGATTCTGAGTCAATAGTAAATTATTCAAAATTTGACTTCTATATTTTTTGTGTTTATGGAGGAATTAACATAAAATCTTAGTAAATATTTCCTCCCCAGCAATTTATGCCCTTGATTTCTGTTTCCAGTGTTGTAAGTTCCTGAGTTTCTTTTCTTTGCTGGTGTAACTCTCCTGTAACAGGTTTTATTAAGTAATGCAGTCATATTGTAAAGCTACATGCTCCATGAAGGGTTTCTTTGTTGGCAGTCAAGTTATCTCCCTTTGTCCAAGCCTTTGGTGCAAGTCTCACTTCTGCTTTATTTTCAAAGTAGCTGCAGTTGGCTTGATGTGTGGGTAATTTAGTAAGGCCTTATTTTTATAATCTTAGGGCGATGGTGTAGTGTAGTTGTCAAATCAATCGCCCGTCACGCCCAAAGCCCGGGGTCAATTCCCCACATTGGTACAATTTGTTAAGTCTAATTTTTAAACTTATCCTATTTCACAACATCCATTTCTCATTCTTCTTTCTATCCTAAGTGGAAATATGCCTAAACCAACGTTTCCAGCTTCTAAAATGTCGGTGCACCCAAACACACCAAGCATCACCATGGTTCCCTCCCAACAATCTGGGTCAGGCACACTTTTCATGCCGGTCGACTTAATCATGCTCTTTCTTATCGCCACAGTGTGGTGACGTGCCTTCGCAAGAGAATCCATTTGGATTTTCTTTTTTTTAAATTTTCCCTTCAGCATTTATGTTTTAAGTCAACATAATGTAGGTTCTGTAAATATGTTTTAAATGTATAAGTACATTGATAAGGATTGTATCTGCAAATTAAATTTAAAGAGATACTATTGGATGTATGTATTATCTTATTTAACATGTACTTATGTGGGAAATGAATGAATGTCTTGTATCATAGGGTGTGGTCTGAGAGGGAGGGATGATGTAAGGGAGATAACTCTCATTCCGGAGTTCTGGTGTTGTTATGATAGTGTGTGAATTGTATCGGTAAAGTTGACAGTTGCAAGTATAGAATGTTACCTTGATTGTGTTGTGTGTCGTCATAGTGTTTGTGGAATGATTGTGTGTGTGTGTGGAGATGATCGTTTGTCAGTTGTATAATGAAAGTGTAATGAATAACAACGTTTGACCTGAAGCAGCGAGTTCTGTTGTGTATCAATACCCTAACTACTGGGCAGTTGGCAAGGACTACAGCACTTGTGCCAATTTCTAACGCTTTAAATAGTATAACTGGTAGGGTTAAAAAATATTATATATGACTAAAAGCAAAAAAATCTGGAACCAGTCCAGTAAGCATCAGTAACGAGTATTACGGACGAGGGCTGGTCCGGCTCAGTACCCACCCGACCCGAGTACCCGAGTTACCCATCCCAGCCCTATTACAGACCTACTCTCCATTATACCATTAAATTGGCATTTCATGGCCTACAAGACTTTTTAGGTGAAATATATTAACCCTCTCAGCAGGAATGACAAATGAATGACCTCATAAATATCATATTATTTAGGTTCAGCATATCCGTGAACCAAGTGTAAAAAAAGCAAAGGCCTGAAGGTGTTTTCGTGTGTTTCAGATGACGAGATAGGTGGGGTGAGTGTGAGTATCCGTGATCGAGATGACATCATTCAGATCTGGAACACGAAGGCTCAGCATGCAGAGGCAGCTACTGTCATTGCCAAAGTTAGACAACTCTTGCCTAAAGTTACATTCACAACAATATTTTATAAAGGTAAGTCTGACATGACAATATTATTGTTTCTGAATCTTGTCTGCAAGGAAAGATACTTTCAATCCCACTAAAATCAGATCTTGCACTACTGTAAGAAGAGCGTGAAGATCTTAGGACACGGCAATAGAAGAGTCAGGCGGACTTGCTGACCAGACAGTCAGCACCCAGGCTTCTAGCTTCTTGTACCAATGAACATTCAGAGTAGCAGATCTGATTTCTGTATCTTGAAAATGAACTTTCCGGAGTGTACATATGAAGGCTGTGCTATTATTATCCCACACCCCGAAGTGGCTACTAACGGTTTTTGGTGGTCCAGCTCGCTGTCTTGGTTGATGCATGTCATTGTGTCCCAATTGCGTAGATTGATGCTTATGATGCCAGTCACTGGATTGTCTGGTCCAGACTCGATTATTTACAGACTGACTTTATTTAGCTGGAATATTGCTGAGTGTTGCATTAAACAACCAACAAACAAAAGACAGAGTGTTTACATTTCTAATATATATTTTTCAGCCTTCCAATCACATGAAGCCTTTGAAAGTGAAAAGGCATTCAAGGTCAAGCGATGACAGCAACAACCTCTAGGAACACTTATCTAAGATCCATTCTGATTGGACATTGAGCAGATAGCCCCACCTGTGCTCATGCTGATTGGTTGAACATAACAGAGGGAGGAGCTTGTGTCTGATTGACAGCCTTATACTATGTGTCTTGCTCTTCCAGTGTCAAAAGCTAGCCGAGAGAATGTTTGTTTTCAACACAGTAGTCAAAATGGAATATCTGTTTGCATTTATTGAATGTTATTAAGATGATATGCGATTTATCATGGCAGGTTTATCATTGATTTGTTTGTATTACATTGGGAGAATTGTATTTATGAAATATTTTTACACGTTTTTGTGCATGTTAGTGGTTTGAATTACATCAGGTGAAATTTTGTTACAGTCTGTTGAATGAGACATAGGATAGAATTTGTTTGACTTCAGAGAAAACTCTTAAGTGTCATGCGTTTCCACACTCTGTAACCATGGTGACCATGACGTCTTGCGGTATTTCAGTGTAGTAATATAAGAAGTTAATGAGACCAGATTTTTTTCTCTTTCTTTGGTTTACAAATGTTTGGCCGAAAAAGTCAGGTTGGTAAGTCAAGGGGTGGGGGCAAAATTTCCAATTTTTTTCTTTATTTCCTCAAAATGTTCAGTAGGTAGAGGGGGGAAAGAAGAAAAGTTGGAGCTTTTTATGGTCAATTTTCAGCTGGTTTTTATTATACCGGGTAATATTCCAAAGTTTTACTTATTTCTGGTCAGCAGAATATAAAAAACACTGCTATTCGGCGGATTCGTAAACCAAGTTTTAATAAATGTCTAGTCTTATGAAATGAAAATTGATAAAAAAACCCGTCATGATGGTCAAAACCGACATTTGACTGACTAGTTACAAATTTGAAATGTGAAATATTGTGTTGACATTTAAATAAATATCTGTTTGTCCCTAGTTTGTAAACAAGTGGTAAAGGTAATGATCAAACACTCACTCCGAGTGCTGCTAAATGCCAAATGCAGCCTACCCTAGCATGCTAGTGTGGTTTCACATGAGTTAAGAAATATGTGCCATGTGTTCTAACTGATGTGTCAGAAGTTGATGTCTTTCTAACAGCTGATAGTGATGTCCTTTGTTTTTGGTTTGCTTTGACTTCAATGATCCTCTGATAATCCTGTAAATCAAAATATGGAAAATGCTTGGACAGGGTTGTATTATATATTGGTACCTCACTGATTTGCTTTCATTATGATATGCATGGCAAGTACAATGGTGTAGGTTTATCATTTGCTGCCCTGAAACAACACTATGGTTGTGGGGGTGGGGACTTGAGGTACCTGGTCCTTGGGATGGGGACTTGAGGTACCTGGTCCTTGGGGTGGGGACTTGAGGTACCTGGTCCTTGGGGTGGGGACTTGAGGTACCTGGTCCTTGGGGTGGGGACTTGAGGTACCTGGCTCTGGGGGTGGGTACTTGAGAACTGTGTTATGGGAGTGGGGACTTGAGGAACCTGGTCCTTGGGGTGGGGACTTGAGTTACCTGGTCCTTGGGGTGGGGACTTGAGGTACCTGGTCCTTGGGGTGGGGACTTGAGAACTGTGTTATGGGGGTGGGGACTTGAGGAACCTGGTCCTTGGGGTGGGGACTTGAGGTACCTGGTCCTTGGGGTGAGGACTTGAGGTACCTGATCCTGGGAGTGGAGACTGTAGGTATCTGGTTCTTGTGCTGGGGTTGGGGACTTGAGGTAACTGGTTCTGGGGGTGTGGGTGGGGTCTTCATGTACCTGGTTCTAGAGGTGGGGACTTGAGGTTCCTAGCTCTGGGGGTGGGGACATGAGGTACATGGCTCTGGGGGTGGGGACTTGAGGTACCTGGTCCTTGGGATGGGGACTTGAGGTACCTGGTCCTTGGGGTGGGGACTTGAGGTACCTGGCTCTGGGGATGGGGACTTGAGGTACCTAGCTCTGGGGTTGGGGACTTGAGGTACCTAGCTTTGGGGGTGGGTACTTGAGAACTGTGTTATGGGGGTGGGGACTTGAGGAACCTGGTCCTTGGGGTGGGGACTTGAGGTACCTAGCTCTAGGGGTGGAGACTTAAGGTTCCTAGCTCTGGGGATGGGGACTTGAGGTACCTAGCTCTGGGGTTGGGGACTTGAGGTACCTAGCTTTGGGGGTGGGGACTTGAGGTACTGTGGTTCTGGGGTTGAGTGTTTTATTCTTTGTAAAGAAATAGTGGTGCTAACAATTGTTCTTCAGATGAATGCAAGATTATGTTCAAAACATCTGCTCTACATTTAGCTATTTATGACATATTTTAAGAAATTATATCCTTAATATTTGTCTTTCTTAATCAATTTTCTCAAAAACTTACATTTCAATATGGCATAATGTCATGAACTGGGAGGATTCCATGCCATGTCAAACAGTCATGCATGTTCTGTTCCATACCAGTGTTTGAAACTAAAGGGGCCCTTGTGTCCTTGAGGTTTGCTGCCTTGTACTTGAATCTCGGGACCCCTACATTTTCTTCTTTTACCATCAGTGTTATGTATAGGAGAAAACATGCCTCCAATGTTTTGCTTGAAAATGTAAACACGAGGGAGAGGGATTTCCCAACTCCCGAGTGTTTACATTTTCAACCCAAACCAAGGGGTAATGCTTTCCCTGGCTTATAAACTATCTAAATGCAAGAAATTCCAGAAAACAATAACAAAACATTGTGATACCTTATAGTGAAACAATACAATGTAATGTACAAGTAATGTGATCAAAGCGTGCAAGAGAAAGACCATGTGCATCATGCTCACAATTGAAGTCATGACATGTAGAATTGAACAGAAATTATCACCTGCTACAGTGGCTCAGTGGGAAACAGTGGGTTACCATACTTTACTTTACACTATATGTGAGGTTGCAGGTTCCATTCCCGTCATCCATAATCAAAATGTTTCATTTCTTGAACACTGGACATTTAAAAAACCGAGTCCAAATTGTTTGCAGGTTCGATTCCTGTTATCCATAATCAAAATGTCATACCAGGTTTTACTAGGAAAAAGTAAAACCTCAGAAGTTATTATGAAATAGGAATGTACCGGGGTACCTACAATACAATAGGCAAAAGAGCCAGTAGATTTATAAGACTGGTACCCCATTACTTTGAGGCGTATTTCCTAATAATGTATGCTAATTGAAGGTTACTTCAAAATGTGCTGTTACATGCGTATTCTGCTGATTTTTGTAGAGATGGAGAGGAGATGTGGCATTGCTTTAACCATTCACAGCAACCTCATTCATTTGGGTCCCTTCTCACAAAGGGTCGGAGCACTACGTCTACCGTAAGTCAGTGTTGAAACATTGGTGTGCTGACAGTCATAGTGCCATGACCACTTTGTCAAACAGACCTCTTTATATTTCAAAATATCATTATCATAAGTTCATTATGGTTTATCAGTCTTCGAGGAATAGTGACGTGAATTCCCTTTGGCTTCTGGATAAGAAGTGACTTTTTGACAGCTGTTGTTGACAGTATTTCCTCTACTTAGTGGCCAGATTTAAAAAACCTCTCAGTTCATGTTTATATTTCACCACTTGTTCTTTTAAGGGATTTTGCTTACATAAACTCTCATTACATCAATGCTGCACTGACTGTCCACAGCACATTCATATGACGTTATCAGGACAACTGTTTTTAATGAATGTAGTGTTAAGTCTCAGAATCTTTTAGCTAAACCTGATATCGACAAACTTTGTTTTATATTCCAAGATGCCACTGTATCATCATTATAGCATATCTGTACAAATTTTAGGATAATTTGTCTCTCATATTTTTGTTCAATGGTTATGTAATTCCATCAATGTTTATTTGTAAATAGATGTTTTGTGTATGTACAGAAGTGAGACATTAAGAAACTATTGTCTGTCCGTCTGCCTAGACATCTAGTTTCTTTACTTTTCTTTTTAGGTTTACAGATTTTGATAGTGAAAAATTTAGTAAGTAGGTAAAGTTTAAAATAAAATGCATTGTCCACAATTAATGTAATCAGCTTAAAAATTGCTTTGGACCGGTAGGTGATTAAAAAATAAAGAATCTTGGTCTGGTTTTGGACCTTATAAATATTATGAATCTAAAATCTCACAGGGACATTTCATTGTCATTTACATAATTAAAGAGGTCTTTTCCATCAGCGGTAAGAAGACAACCTTGTCACTCTGAAGGCTAGCGGATCTGTAATTCAAGAGAAAATCATGTACGTGTGAAAGCCTCCTTGCATGCATCTCGTGTGTTGAAGAGAGCATTTCACTAGTAGTAGCCTCATAGCTGATACTTGAGATACAGGTGCTAGTTGGAATTGACATTTATTTTATGAAATATTGTGGATACATGTACTTAAAACAGGTTGACATACCCTGTTCTGACAGTGCCAAACTCTGAACCACCAGATTCCCTGTATCCCGATGAGACCACCAGTATTGGTAGAACACGTCCAGGTACAGGAGTTCACAAGCTGAATGGACACCACAGCATTCAGCTTGTAAAGTACTGTAACCCAGGTACTGTTGCATGTAATAGATTTGTGACAAAAAGAACTATCTTGTGACGGCCAAGTTCGGACATGGTCAACTGTGACGTGACAAGTGAGTAATGACACGAGCCTAAGTAATATTTAGGTCCATGCAGAGCTCCAGATAACTTTTTTGAGCAATTGAGTTTTTACTCTAGGGTTTCGAATTTAATTTGGTTATTAATTTTTCATTGGGTAACTAATATTTTTTCACTCATCTATTCATCACTCTGTTGGGTTTTTCCGAAAAATTAGTGAACATTTTAAGATCTTATAAAAAATGAAATAATGTTTTAGATGTATATAACTGTTCTAAATATATAGGCTTGACTCGGAAAGTAAATTAGCTCGTAATTGTGTTTCAGAAATTAGCTCCTTTGTACGCATGCTGAAAAAGCTTCACTGGGTATTTACACATGATGTTTTTATACATTTGAATTTTTCATTTATTGCATTAAGTGAATTGAAAGTAATTTGGTTTTGAATATTGGGGGGGGGGGGGGGGGGGGAGGTATTTTACGTAAATACGCAGCTTATCTGTTACTCTGTCCATGGTGGTGACAAATGAGGTATATCACAATAAACGGTATGACATCATCCAACCAATTCACTTGTATTTCTTTTTTAAAGATTAATACTGGCCAATGAGATACATGTAGCTTGATTCTTTAATGTGTAAGGCTTTAAAAAATGAAATAATTGGTGCTCAGACAATGACATATAAAAATATAGTGCAGGCGGGTAGTGTGCGGTTTTTTGTGTCTTGTTCAAACTAGTAAGTAACCAAATAAACAGTTGTGTACCATCAATCTGGGAAAGGGCCTCACTACATTAACAAACATACAAACTCCTACTGCCGCCATGACCACAACACAAGGTATTCAGTAAAGCAGTGCACATGTAAAGGAAAGTAACTTGGTGCTGTATTGGATCGCACTGTTTTTTAGTATTAAGAAAACAAAACGAAACATGCAGGCGGTGCCTGAGAACCAAGACTATTATTTTTTTAGCCTAATAACAAAACCTTTACCCACTTTCACAAAGCAACCTTAGTGCTAGGAGTATTGTAAGCCTAGGTTGAAGTATGGGAGCTACTATGGAAGCAGTGCTACTTTCACTTTGTGCAGGTTCATCAGGGAATGACTTTGAGTGAACGTTACCTTGGATACCTAAGTCAATACCATTTCAACTGTTTGTGTGACATATACCATGAGTGGACGGCTTGTGTCTCAGGTTCCGAAATGCAATAATCCAAATATATACAAACTTGTATACATATCTTCTTGACATCAGGACAGGTACCGACAGACAGCCCTATGGGGAGTGCAAAAAGAGCTACACATTTTTATTATGTCATTGGTTTATCATAAACTTAATATCATCCATACATCCTTTAGTGCTTGAAACTTTTGTTTTTTAATATATTGGCCATTTCAATATTATTTTAAGATGTCTGCTACTTGGCACTGTATATGCACCTGCACCACAGCAGCATTTTTTAGTTAAGCTTCCAAATCCAAACCAATTTCATCTTATATGAGTAATAAGTATCTTGTAATACAATTTTCAGAAGTGGTATAATATTAGAACCCACTCTACAAGGGAGCTAGGTTTTGATTTTTAATAATTCAAAATGGCCACCAACAGCTTATTTCAAAAGTTAAAGCTTTATTTGTATTCATGAATCTATGAACATTCTTTATGTGATATTAAGGCAAAGAATTGTATCTGAAAGTTACCAGTAGGCAAACTGGTGATGAAAATACACTTCACAAAAATGTCACTACCTGGCATCAGGGATGCAGGTGGCCCGTCGTCCTAGGTGATGCAATTTGTTGTACAGAGTTGCGCCCCTTAGATTGTTCATCCAGTGGTACTATAGTTGACTTTTAAGAAATATATAGCTGAGAAATGTTTTTGCCAATGTATTGGTGCCGGAAAGATATGCCTGGGACCTTAATTGCTATCTATGTTAACGACTTGATTCCCCATCTGTCCGGACAGTAATCCAGCAGTACATCAGCAATCTCTGCTACATGTTACCTGTCATTGTTAGATGTCCATTATACGTGTGTATGTATGAAACTGTATTCTTTGCTTGGGCAGCATGACACTATGGGAGGTGAGTCCCATCCTTGGAGGCCCAGTATATTGTCTCTGTCTTGTTATGGCAAATACCTTGGACCTGTTCAGTACCATGGTTCATTTCAGACGTGACA